TATATATATAGGGCCCCGCGGGGGCCCCCAGAAGGGGGGCCCCCGCATGCTGCTAGGGGGGCCCCCGGAGTGTTGCTGTTGCTGCAGCTTTGTTTTGTTTTGTTTGGGTGGATTTGCTTGCAGTTTAATTTAATTTTTTGTTTTTATTAAAGGCATCTGATGCTGCTGAAGGGCTGCATGCGTTGAGAAGCAGCGCAATGCTGGCTCCTGCTGCTGCTGCTGCTGCAGCAGCAGCAGCAGCAACAGCAGCAGCAGATGGGGAGCTTCAATCCCCAACTGCAGCAGATAAACAAGAGAAGAAGACAGATGAGTTAGAAGCAGCATTACAACTCCTTATCAGAGACGTAGATGAAGCCCTCGGCCTCAGGAGCAGCAGCAGCAGCAGCAGCAGCAGCAGTGGCGATGCCTCCGCAGCAGCAGCAGCAGCAGCAGCAGCAACAGCAGCAGCAACAGGGGGCGTTTTTCAGTTGAGTTTGTCTCGCCGCTTTTTAGATAGGAGGGAAGAACGGATGCTGCTCTTAGGCACTGCTAACTTTCTCATTGCGCTCGGAAGGTAAACCCTAAACCCTAAACCCTAAACCCTAATATCTAAACCCTAATCACTAAACCCTAAAACCTAAACCCTCACCGAGTGGAAAGACAAGTCCTGTGCACTGCTGCTCCCTCGAGGGTTTGGCGACACAGAAGGTGGATGTAGCTAAGGGTTTAGGGTTTAGGGTTTAGGGTTTAGGGTTTAGGGTTTAGGGTTTGGTGTCTGGGGTTTAGGAACTTGGGGCTTTCGACGGAGTGCATCTGCGCTGCTCTCGGGTTCTTCTACTTGGGGGCGGAGCAGCAGCAGGTGCAGCTGCAGCAGCGGCAGCAGCAGCAGCAGAAGCAGCAGAAGCAGCAGCCGCTGCGCCTAACGAACCGAAAGGCTGCTGCTGCTGCTGCGCTGCTGCTCGCGTGGAAGCTCCTGGATGATAGTGATCCTATCAAGTACGACCTGCTGCTGCTGCTGCTGCTGCTGCTGCAGTGCTGCTGTTGCTACTTTGAGTGCTGCTGTTGTTGCTGCTGCTGTTGCTGTTCCTGCTGCTGCGACCGGGTCCGGCGCTGCTAATGCAGCAGTTTGTTGTTTGGTATCGACTCTGTTGATACTATAGTTGCTGCTGCTGCTGCTGTTGCTGCTGCTGTAGGCGCTGCAACTGTTACTGCTGCTGCTGCTGCTGCTGCATCTACTTGTGCTGCTGCTGTTGGGGTGTATGAACAGGAGCCAGCGGAGAGTGCAGTGTTTATCGAGGGCTTTTTATCGGGTGTCTCAGCAGCAAAAGGCAGCGCAGCTGGCTGCAGTATACCACCTGCTGCAGCAGCAAGACCAGCAGCAGCAGCAGCAACAGCAGCAACAGGAGAACGGGTTAAGCTTCCCTTTGCAGCATCAGCAGGCGCAGCATCAGCATCAGCATCAGCAGCATCAGCAGCAGCAGCAACAGCATCATCAGCAGAAGCTGCAGCAGCTGCAGCAGCTGGTATGCTCTTCTTCAGCTTGGCTGCTTCGTGATGGGGGCCTCTGCTGCCGCCAGCTGTCTCGGCTGCTGCGACAGAAAGAGATATGTTTGCTGCAGTTTATACAGTTCAACTTGGGGGGCCCCCACCGCTCTCCTGCTTCACTCAGCAGACACCTCAAGCTGCTGCTGCAACCCTGCAGCAACAGCAGCAGCAGCAGCAGCAGCAGCAGCAGCAGCAGCGGGAGCTGCTGCTGCAGCTACTGGCCCAGGAAAGGAAAGGATTATGCTGCGCTGCTGCACTCCCTTGAGTGCCGCAGCAGAGAAGAGTTGCTGCTGCTGCATGCAACACCCCTCGCAATAGAATTGGGGGGCCCTGTTGTTGCTGCTGCTGCTGCTGTTGCTGCAGCAATAGCCTTTGAGATGCCCTTCCCAGCCGGACGCTGGGCGACGCCCCAGCAGCAGCAGCAGCAGCAGCAGCAGCAAGCTGAGTGTCCTCCCAGCAAGCGGCATAAATCAGAGGAGCCCGCCGCAGCAGAAGCAGCAAGTGCCCCTGCTTCTGCTGCTGCTGAACCTGCTGCTGCTACTGCTGCTGCTGCTGCAGTGCAGCAACTTGCTGCCTTTGACAGACACGTGCGGCAGTATCTGGCGGCTGCTGCTTCTCTTTGTGCAATGCCTGCAGCAGCAGCAGCAGCAGTTGCAGCAGCGGACCCAGCAGCAGCTCCTCCCGGGGCCTCATCAGCAGCAACAGCAGCAGCAGCAGCAGCAGCAGCACAACTCGATCCCCAGCGGGTGCTGCAGGTGCTGCAGCTGCTGCGTCTCTGCCGCCTATGGAGAGGCGACCTGCTGCATGCAAACCCAAAAATAAGAATAACAGCAGCAGCAGCAAAACCGCAAGCAGCAAATACTACACAAACAACCCTACACAGCGGGGCCCCCAAGGGCCCCTAGGTTCTCCTGGGGGCCCCCACAGGGTATTATTATACACCACAACCCACAAGGGGCCTCAGAGGGGCCCCCACAAGATCTCCAAGAGGGGGGCCCCCAGGGGGGCCCCCAGGGGGTCCTCCAGAAGGAGGCCCTTAGGGATGGGGCCCCCCAGGGGGCCCCCAGAAGGGGGCCCCCAGAAGGGGGCCCCCAGAGGAAGGCCTCTTCTGGGGGCCCCATAGGAGGCTTCTAGAAGAAGGTCCCCAGGGGGAGAGGACCCCCAGGGGTGGGGGCCCCCAAGGGGGGCCCCAGGGGGAGGGCCTTCGGGGGGGGGGCCCCAAGGGGGCCCCCAGCAGAGGCCCCCACGGGGAGAGGGCCCCCAAGGGTGGGGGCCCCCAAGGGGGCCCCCATTAGAGGCCCCCAGGGGGAGGGCCCCCAGGGGGAGGGCCCCAAGGGGGGGGCCCCCAAGGGGGCCCCCATTAGAGGCCCCCAGGGGGGCCCCTAGGGGTCCCCTTATGGTTTGAAAGGCAGTTTATGAAGAACAAGTTTTGTTGTCAGTTTGCTGGGGGCCCCCAGGGGCCCCCATGAGCGATATGAAGAATAAATTAATTAGGGTTTAGGGTTTGGAGTTATTTATGAAAATGTTTTAGGGGTTTAGGGTTTAGAGATAAGTACTAGCTGAGGTGTACAGACAGCTCGGAGGTACGGCTGCTGCTGGCTGCTGCTGAGGCTACCGTTTGCTGCTAAAAGTAAAAAAAATGTTAAGGGCATTTAAATTCTGTTCTTGCTGCTGCTGCTGCTGCTGCAGTAGGGGAGCATTCCATACTGCAGCAAACAGCAGCAGCAACAGCAGCAGCAGCAGCAGAAAAGGCGGCAGCTGCCGCTGCATAGCAGTCTTTGCTTTGCATGTAAAGGCCTTGCTGCAGTAGCAGCTGCTGCTGCAGCAGCTGTTGCTGCTTCTACGCAGGCCACCACGTGTTAGCCTCTTGCTGCAGCAGCAGCTGCTGCTCTTCGCTGTTAAGCTGCAGCAGCGAGCTTATGACTGGCAGCAGCTGCTGCGCTGCAGGATCGCCTCTTTGTTTATATATAATATACTTTAGCAGCACGTGCTTCAGATACTCCTGCTGCTGGTTGCTGCTGCTGCCGCTGCTGCTGCTCTTGGTGGTGCTGCTGCTGTTGGTGCTGCTGCTGCTGTTGGTGCTGCTGCTGCTGCTGCTGCTGCCGTTAGTTGTTTGAACTGTGTGGGGCCCCTGAACTGACGAGGGAGGGGGCCCCTCAGGAGGCGGCGGTGGCGGTCTGCTGCTGCTGCAGTTGCTGTTGCTGCTGCTGTTGCTGTTGCTGCTGCTGTTGCTGTTGCTGCCGTTGCTGCCATTCAAGAGTTCGGGCTGCCCAGCATCTCGCTTTAAACGTATGACCTCCTGCTGCAGCAGCAGCAGCTGCTGCTGCTGCTCGTCTTGTTGCTGCAGCAGCAAGTCGTGCTGCTGTTGCAGGGCTTCCAGCTGTCGTTGCTTTTGAAGCAGCGCCTGATGCTGAGGCGATTCAGCAGCGTCCTGCAGCTCCTCCTGTTGCTGCTGCTCCTGCTGCTGCTGCTGTTGCTGCTGCTGCTGCTGCTGCAGCAGCTGCAATCGTTGCCGCAGCTTCTCCAGTGCTGCTTCTTTACTCAGGAGGAGCGAACGCGCTTGCTGCCGATGGGCCTCAAGGTCTTGCTGCTGCTGCTGCAGCAGTTTCTGCTGCTGCTGCAGCTGCTGCTGCTGCTGCTCGTGCTGCTGCTGCTGCAGCTCCAGCCGAGATACCTCCTGCTGCAGGCTGTCAGCGCGCTGCTTCTGCTGCTGCGCCTCCTGCTGCAGGGCTTCTACTTGTTGCTGCAGCTGCTGCTGCAGCAGCTGCTGCTGCTTCTCTTCACTCGTTCCATTGTCATGCGCAGACGGAAGAGCAGCTTCTGCAGCAGCAACATCACAGCGTGCTTCCGTGTTGCTGCTGCTGCTGCTGCTGCTGCTGCTGCTGCTGCTGCTGGGTTCTTGTGTGCACTCATCTTCGCTGGCCGGGCTCGTACCGTCGAGCTGCTGCTGTGTCTCTGCAGCAGCAGCAGCAGCAGCAGCACCTGCTGCTGCTGCTTGCTGCAGCTGCAGCGTCCTGCAGTTGCTGCAGCTAACAGATGTGTCGCTTCGGCATGCTTCTGCAGCGGCTGCAGCAGCAACTGCTGCAGCAGCAGCCTTTCTCTGCTGCAGCAGCTGCAGCAGCAGCGCAGCTTTCTCCCTTGTGAGTGTGGCGATTTGCTGCTGCAGCTGTACAAGCCTTTCTTCCTGCTGCTGCTGCAGTTGCTGCTGCTGCTGGAGCTCTTGCTGCTGCTGTTGCAGCAACAGCATCTGCTGCTGCTGCTGCGCATTTGTCTTGCTGCTGCTTAGCTGCCGCTCTTCTTCTCCCTCCAACCACTTGCGGTGCAGCACGGCTGAGGAGAGATGCGGTGCTGCGCGTGCAGCAGCAGCAGCTGCTGCTGCTGCTGCAGCATCTCCACCTGTAGCAGCAGCAGCAGCAGCAGCAACCAGCTGCAGAGACAGCTCACGAGGGAACAGCAGCAAACAAAAAGAAGCAAGGGCCTCTCTGTCTGTCTCCAGCCGCAGCAAATGCGAAGACAGGCGCTGCGCGCAGACAAAAACATCGATCTCGCTGCTGCTGTTGCTGCTGCTGCTGCTGGAGGGGTCTGCTGCAGCAGCAGCAGCAGCAGCAACAAACTTCTCGTCGACTACACCAAAACGCTGAAGCACATCCAGCAGCAGCGTGTGCTCTTGCCGCTGACGTTGCTGCAGCTGGTGCAGCTGCTGTTGCGCTGCTGCTGCTGCTGCTTCCTGCTGCTTGTTGCGGCTCAGCAGCAGCTGCACTTCTGACTCCCGCTGTTGCAGCTGCCGCAGCAGCACAGGCCCATCTAAGTCGTCCAGGTCTTCATGCTGCTGCTGCTGCTGCTGCTGCAGCTGTTGCTGCTGCTGCTGCTGCTGCTCTGCTGCAGCAGCTACTGCCGCCAAAGGCTTCTTCAGGGGTTCAACCCGCGAAGCAGCAGCAGCTGTTCCTGCTGCTGCTGATGCTGCTGGATCTGCAGCAGCAGCAGCAGGGATGAGGCCCGCTAGAGAGTGGAAGAGGTCGCTGCTGCTGCGGGCCCCTGCATGCAGACGCGCAGCAAAAGAAGCAAAGCTTTTTGCTGCTCCTGTTGGAGCTGCTGCTCCTGTCTCTGCTGCTCCTGCTGCTGCTGCTGCAGCAGCAGGAGCAGCAGCAAACTGAGAAGCAGACGACTTCAAGGGCAGCGACATCAATGCCGAACGTCGCCAGTACAATGCATCCCTTTCTGCTGCAGCTGCAGTTGCTGCTGTTGCTGTTGCTGCTGCCGCTGCTGCTGCTGCTGCTATAGTTGTTTCTATTGTTGCTGCAAATAGCGCGGCTGTTCCTGCTGCAGCTGCTATTAATGTCTAGCCCGCTGCTGCTGCCGCCTCTGTCGCTGCTGCTGCTGCTGCTGTTGCTGCTGTTGCTGCTGCTACTGCTGCTGCTAGTGGTACGTAGGTTGCCTTAGGCAGCTACCGATCAAACTCGCGCTTTTGCTGCGGATCCTGTTGCTGCTGCTGCTGCTGCGGTTCCTGCTGAGACTGCAGCAAGTCAAGACTAACGGGCAGCAGCAAGCGCAGCAGCAGCAGTAGGAGCACCAGCAGCAGCAGCAAATGCTGCAGATGATGTCTCAGCCTATCTAGCAAGACAGCTTCCGCAGCTGCTTCAAGGATAAAGGCACCCAGTCAATGCTGAAAGAGCTGCTGCTGCTGTCGCTTGCGATATCCTCGACGCTGCTGCTGCTGCTGCTGCTGCTGCTATTGCTGCTGTTGCTGCTGCTGCTGCTGCGGTCCGCGCTGCTGTACACAGGCACCCACGCCCTTTCAAACCTATTAAAAGTTCTTCACGCATAATAAAACAACTCAACTGGGTTGCTGAAATGTCTACAAGGTCAGCAGCAGCAGCAGCAGCAGCAGCAGCTGCTGCTGCTGCTGCTGCAGGCGTCTGCAGGCGGCTGAGGTGGGGCCCCCTAGGGGCTTCCTTAACTCTGGGGGCTTCTCTTGAGTTTTTCTGCTGCTGCAGCTGCAAATAGACAATTTGAAGTCATTAAAACTGCTAGCAGCTGCAGCAGGAGACGAAGGAGCTGCTGCTGCTAGCAGCAGCTCCTCCTCCTACTGCTGCTGCTGCTGCTTGGAGGCTGCTGCAGTGTAGCAGCAGCGCAGCAGCAGCGCAGCAGCAGTACAAGAAAAGGCTGGGAGAGAAGCTGCTGAGGCAGCACAGCCATTGACAAGATGCTGCGGCGGCAGCTGCAGCAGCAGGAGCAGCTGCAGCAGCAACAACGCGTGCAGCAGCAGCAACACACTCAACAGCAGCAACAATTGCAACAGCAGCAACAACCACAGGAGCGAGAGGGGTTACAGCAGCAAGAACAGCTGCAGCACAAGCGACGGCGGCGGCGCCAGCAGCAGCAGCAACAGCAGCAGACTTCCTGCTCCCAGCAACCTCAGCAGCAGCTGCAGCAGCAGCAGCAGCAGGAGCAGCAGCAGCAGGAACAGCAGCAGCTACAGCAAACCGAGCTTCATCAGCTGCCCCACACGCAGCAGCAGCAGCAGCAACAGCAGCAACAGCAGAACCAAGCGCAGAACCAGCAGAACAAGCAGCAGCAGCAGCAGCAGCAGCAGCAGTTGCTGCAGCAGCACGGTTTGCTGTGGTGCCACCCCTTGAAGCGTTTATTGCACCTGCGAGCGGCATTTGAGCCGCAGCTGCTGCAGTTCTTTGGGGCCCCTGTGCTGCTGCTGCAGCAGCTAGACGTCGACAATTGCTGCTGCTGCACCTCCTGCTGCTGCTGCGGGCTACAGCTTCAGCAGCAGCAGCCGCACGAGGAGCGGCAGCAGCACGAGGAGCAGCAGCAGGGCGACATGCTGCCACAGCAGACCGACAGTACGTGCTGCAACTCAACGGGCAGCAGCAGCAGCAGCAGCAGCAGCAGCAGCAGCAATGGGATGGCCTCTGTGAGGGGCCCACCTTCAAGTGCTTCCGCAGCGGGGGAAGCAGAAGCAACAGAAGCAGCAGCAGCAACAAGAGAAGCAGCAGCAGCAGGAAGGACAGCAGCGCAGTCAATAGCATCTAGAGAGTCAGCGAGGCCGACTGCAGCAGCCGCAGCAGCAGCAACAACAGCAACAGCAGCAGAGGCGAACCAGACCGCGGATGGTGCTGCTGCTGCTGCTGCTGCCGAGCTGGATGCCTTTGCTGCTGCAAGCAGTGCACTCTGCTGCAGCAGCAACTGTGAATGCATGGCCGAGGCAGCAGCAGCAGCAGCAGCAGCCGCAGCAGCAGCAGCAAGCTCCGACAGAACTAAACGGCGGCGGTTGCTGCGCGGGAGAGCAGCAGCAGCAGCAGCAGCAGCTCTTGATTGCTACAGCAGCAGCCGCAGCAGGTCTGAGGTGCAGCAGTATGCACAGCTGCTGCTGATGCAGTCGATTTTGCTGCTGCTGCCCACCCCACAGCTGCAGCAAGGGGACGTGGTGGTGTTTGCATGCGACTGGCTGCTGCTGCTGCAGCGGCAGCTAGAGCAGCAGCAGCGCAGGGCTGCAGCAGAAACAGCAGCAGCAGCAGCAGCAGCAAAAGGAGCACAAATTGAACCCAGCACACTCGAAGAAACAGCTAGGAGGTTGCTGCTGCTTCCTGCTGCGCTGCCGCTGCAGCTGCTGCGTATATTCCAGTCGGTTTTGCTGCAGCTGCAGCAGCAAGGAGAGCTGCAGCAGCAGCACCTTCTCGCTGCCTTCAAAGGCTATTTGCTGCAGTGGAGGCGCCGCAGAAATGCAGTAGCTGCTGCTCTTTTACAAGCAGCAACCGCAGCAGCAACAGCTGATGCTGCTGCTGCGCAGCAGCAGCAGCTGCGGGAAGCAGCCGCAGCAGCAAAGCGTTTGCTTTCACTTGGAGAGAGACTTGCTCTTCGCCGATTCAAGAGACTACAGCAGCAGCTGCTGCAGCAGCAGCAGCAGCAGCAACAACAACAGCAGCAGCAAGGTGACTGCAGGCCTGCCTTGAAGGGCAGATCTGTTCCCAAGGCCAAAGGCCGCAGCAGCAGCAGTAGCAGCAGCAGCAGCAGCAGCAGCAGCAGCAGCAACAGCAACGGCAGCAACAGCAGCGACAGCAGTGAGCTGGCGCGCCAGTTTGAAAGGAGAGAGGCGGATTTGCTGTTCGAATTGCTCAGCAGCAGCAGCAGCAGCAGCAGCAGCAGCAGCAAGAGTCTGTCTGCGTACTGCTGCGCTAGGAACCGTTGGCTTCTTGGGGGCCCCATGGGGGCCCCCTGTCTGTTGTGTGTGCAGCAGCAGAAAGAAGATGCTGCTGCTGCGCTGCTGATGCTGCTGGTGAGCTTAGGTTTACTGCGGCATCCGCCTCTGCAGCGGCAGGTGCAGCAGCAGCAGCAGCTGCTGCTTCAGCAGCAGCAGCAGCAGCAGCCGGTGGTGCTGCTGTCGTTACCTGCTTTAGGCTCTTTGTGTCTGTGGCTGCAGCAGGGTGAGAAGGAGCTGCTGCAGCGGCTGCATAAGAATGCACATAAAGAGTTGCTGCTGCTGCAGCTGCAGCAGCAGGTGCAGCAGCAACCCCTCAAGTCTTGCGGCTTGGGGCTGCGGTTCTTGCTGCTGTTTTTAATTGGGGTGAGACGTGTTGCTGCTGTTCCGCTGCAGCCCTCAAACCAAATACTGCTGCGAGCCTTCTAGGGTTTAGGGTTTAGGGTTTAGGGTTTCGTAGGGTTTGGGAGGGGTTTCTAGGGTTAAGGGGGTAGGGTTTAGGGTTTAGCGGATGAATACGCAGAAGCAGCATGGCTCTGCAGCAGCAACAGCAGCGGTCGCCGGAGCAGCAGCAGCAGCGGTGGTAGCTGCTGCTGCAGAGCTTCTGCTGCTGCTGTAGTTGCATATGCTGCCGCTGCTGAGCTCTCCTTTCTTTGGATGGGCCCAACCAAACCCTAAACCCTAAACCCTAAACCCTAAACCCTAAAGGGGCAAAGCAATGTCCTCCCTGTCCGAGCTAGGGTTTAGGGTTTAGGGTTTAAAGGTAGCCTATCTAGGGTTTAGACTTTTGCAGGACAAGAGCGTCCTATGCCAAGGGTTTAGAGTGTTTAGGGTTTAGGGTTTAGAGACTTTAGGGTTTAGAGTTTAGAGGTTTTGTAGGGTTTAGGGTTTAGAGGGTTTAGGGTTTGTCCTGGCCTGGGGCTCAGGAAGGATTGGGGTTTAGGGTTTAGGGATCCGCCCAACCCTAAACCCTAAACCCTAAACCCCTCAAAGAGACTGCGAAAGATGAGTTAGGGTGCTATGCATCCTTCCTTCGGCTATGAGCAGCAGCAGCAGCAGCACAGCAGCAGCAGCACTACCATTAGCAGCAGCAACACTGGCAGCAGAAGCAGCAGCAGCAGCAGCAGCGATTGAAGCAGTAGCAGTACCAGCAACAGAAGAAGAAGCAGCAGCACTAGCAGCAGCAGAAGCACTAGCAGCAGCAGCAGCACTACAGCAGCAGCAGCACTACAGCAGCAGCCGCAGCAGCAGCAGCAGCTTTGCTAGGACCCGACTACAGCAGAAAAGTTATTAAAAAGTATTTTGCTCTCATCGACTTTGTTTGTTGTTTATAAATATAAATATAAATATAAATATAAATATAAATATAAATATATATATAAATATATATATATATATATATATATATGTGGTGTATGCATATATTTATATAATACAACTATACGCAAATGCATTAGCGTATATTATATTTATTATATTTATATATTATATTTATATATTATATTTATATATACCTATTAAATTATATTATTATATTATATAATAATATAATTTATTTACATCAGCAGACTGGCCAAGGCAGCATGCAGCTACACCTGAAACCTTCCTGCTGCAGCAGCAGCAGCTGCTGCTGCTGCTTGCTGCTGCAGCCCAAGAGACGCTGATGAGGCAGCGCGGCAGCAGGCGAGCGGCCCTGCAGCAGCAGCTGCAGCAGCAGCAGCAGCAGCAGCAGCAGGGACACCTGGAGGGGGAGTTGCTGTCGTTAGATACAAAGGTGATGCGTTGCTGCTGGTGCTGCTCCTGCTGCTTCTGCTGCTGCTGTTGACTACGCCGTGTCTGCTGCTACAGGCAAAGAGTTGCTTGTGCTGCTGCTGCTGCTGCTGCTGCTGTAGGCGACGCTGCAGCAGCAGATCCCGCTGATGGCCACACAGCAGCGAAGGACTAGCTGTTGCTGCTGCTGCTGTTCCTGTTGCTGCTGCTGCTGTTGCTTCCAGCGGTGAGCTGCGGGAGCCGCAGACGCAGCAGCACTTCGCCCTCGTCCTATGCTGACAAACACTTCTGCTGCCAGCAGCAGCAGTAGCAGCAGCAGGACTGCTGCTGCTGCTGCTGCAATGGGACCGACTGCTGCTGCGACTGAGCAGAATTTCGCTACGTCCACCGCAGCAGCAGCTGCTGCTGCTTGTGCTGCTGCTGCAGTTGCTGCAGCTGCTGGTTCGTTTAGAGTGCTGTCTGCTGCTGCTGTGAGGCTTTGCAGCAGCAGCAGCAGCAGCAGCAGACCTAGCCTTCGCTGCTTCAAGACTGTCTTTCAGCCTGGTGTTCTCCCTGATGCCAGCAGCACAAACGGCAGCAGAAGCAGCAAGGTAACAAATACAGCAGCAGCAGCAGCAGCAGCAGCAAGGTAACAAATACAGCAGCAGCAGCAGCAGCAGCAGCAGCAGCAGCAGCAGCAGCAGCAGCAGCAAACGGGGATTCCCTCGAATACCAGCACCACAAGAGGCAGCAGCAGGAACCAAATGCAGCAGCAGCAGCCCCTCAGCAGCAGCAGAAAATGTAGCAACAGCAGCAGTAAATGCAGCAGCAGCAGCAGCAGCAGCAGCTGTAGCATCATGAGTTCATGCAGACGCACCTCTCAGCTGCAGCAGCTGCTCTCTTTGCTGCTGCTGCTTCTGCTGCTGTCTGCCGCAGCTGCTGCTGCAGCGCCACCACTCGCTGGGTCCATTCAGCTTCCTTTTTAGTTTGCTGCCTCTTCAGCTGCAACCCGCAGCAGCAGCAGTAGCAGCAGCAGCAAATGCAGCAACAGCAGCAGCAGGGTATGCTTCTGCTGCTGGTGTATACAGCTAAACACTTCCCTCTTGCTGCCGCTGCTAAGTGAATGGTGGATGGTGCTGCTGCTGCAGTTGCTGCAGCAGCAGCAGCAGCTGCTGCTGCTGCTGCTGCTGCATTTGCTTACCTTTTCGAGGTCTAGACTAAGGGCCTTCTCGGCTCTCTCTCTCCTCTCCAGCTGCTGCTGCAGCTGCTGCAGCTGCCGCTGCTGCGCCGCAGCATCGTTTTGCTGCCTCTGGCTTCTCTCTTGCTGTTGCTTTATAAGCCTGCAGCAGCAGCAACACAAGCAGAAGCAGCAGCATTTACGCAACAGCAGCACCACCACCAGTACAACAGCACAGGCGGCAACAGAAGATGCAGTAGCAGCAGCAGCAGATGCAACAGCAGCAGCAGCAGCAGCGTTTAAATATGAATACCAGTCTTGCTGTCGGATCAGCAATTGCTGCTGGGCGAGTTGCTGCTGCAGCTGTTCCTGCTGCTGTTGCTGCTGTTGAAGCTCTTGCTGCTGTTGCTGCTGCTGCTGCTGTTGCTGCTGGATGCCATTCATCAGATCGCGTATGGCTACCGCAGCACTTTCCTGCTGCAGCAGCTGCAATTGCAGCTGCTGCTGCAGCAACTTCAGGGGCTGGTTGGGCTTAGTATCTGCTGCTGAGGCCCTAAATGCTGCTTTTTCTGCAGCAGCAGCAGATGCCGCTGCAGCAGCAGGTGCCGCAGCAGCAGCAGATGCCGCCGCAGCAGCAGATGCCGCTGCAGCAGCAGGTGCCGCTGCAGCAGCAGATGCCGCTGCAGCAGCAGGTGCCGCTGCAACAGCAGGTGCCGCTGCAGCAGCAGGTGCCGCAGCAGCAGCAGGTACCGCTGCTGCTGCAGCAGGTACCGCTGTTGCAGCAGCAGGCGCTGCTGCGGCTGCTACAAGGGAGTGCCGGCTTTCATGACCCGTGGTGTTGTT